AGTGGAGTCCTGCATTGAGAGCCTCCCTTCCTGGCTTTGCTTGGCAGAAAACTTCCTCCTCCGCGAGAAGCTTGGCACTTGTTCTGTGGGTGCCAGGAGTCCCATGCAGAGCCAGCTACTGAGAATGTCAAATATGACAAAGGGACAAATCGGTACCCACCCCACTGCAGGGTGCCATGGCATGGGAATCTCTAACAGGAAATTTTAAGGCAGAGAGTCATCCTAAGGCCTCATTCTCCTCCAATTTATGGTCTCAAGGTCTTTGCCTGGCTGATTATAGACAGTGCCCCTGGTCTCCTCCTCCCTGAGGACAAGGAGGATCCTCCGGCCATACTGGCAACCTTGCCTCCTCCCTGGGGACCTCTCAGTCTCCTCTGAGTGGGATGGATCCTCTGGCTGCCCCAGCCCTCTGCACTGATCATTGGAATCAGTGTCCCCATGTCAACACGACAGCACCGTCTGCTCCTAGGCAGGACCCCTGTCTGGCTTGCCTGTGACCCTCCACACCTCCCACCGAGCCCCCAACAGGGGGCTCTCTCAGTGCTTATGGAAGGGATGACCAGAAGAGAAGGAGGAGGAGGAGGAGAAGGAGGAGGAGCAGCCAGAGGAGGACCAAGAGACAGATCTGTGGGGCAGTCACAGGGGACTCTGGAGCCAGCAATTGTGTACAGCAAGGTTGTACCAAAACAACAAAACCAGCTCAGCTCCAACAGTCACAGCTCCTGAGCTGCCACAGCAGAGTGGGCGCAGTGGGGGCCTCCCCTATCGGCCACCTGCATCTCTCACTTGGCCCTTTTTATTATTTGATCTGGAGGAAGTTGAGGCTGTGCCCCCACATCCACCTGGGGCAGGGCTGGGACTGGACCTGGGTCTCCTGCCCCTGTGCTGAGCAGATGAGGAAGACAGCAGAGAAGCCAGTGTGTTCCAGAGGTGGCCCAAGAATGCGCCCACACCTCCCGCTCTTACTGACCCGAAGCCTAAGAACACGTCCCAATGCAAAGAAAGCGCAGGGTCATTTTATAATCGAATCACATCAGAGCCGTAAGAGGTGCTCAACATAGGATCTGGATATTGAAATTTTGCCTTAAAGTTCTGTTTTTCTCTCCACAAATGAAAAACTAAGAATTTCCTCTGTGATTTCAAAGCTTCTGTGGTTGACCCCTCGGCACCCTGCCGCCCCAACTCCACCATGCTTTCCCTGGGCCTGTGACAACTCCACACCTGTCCCCACACCTGTCAGTCCCCCTCATCAAGGTCAGGGACGGGCAAGGGGGTAACCTGAGCCTGGCTGAAGAGCCCCTAGGGCCTCCCCAGGCTCCCTGGGACTCAGTGTGGGAGACCAGTCGTGGCTTCTCAGGGCCAGGGGCCTCCAGCTGGGGGGTCTTGGGCAAGGCACACCACTTTTCTGAAACACCAGGTCTTTCTGATGCAGATATTACGTCTTAGGGTTGGTCTTGGTGTCATGAGAAGGTAATATGTGAGGAGTCATTGGAGCATATTTAACTTGCATGGAAATTCAGAGCTCCTGGCAGGCAGGGCCACCAGGACATGGGTAACTGGCGCTGCTCAGCTTGACAGGCAGAAGTCCCCAGGCCACTGTCGGAGCTGCTCAGCCACAGGCCCTCTGGGCTGCTGGTGCCTGGACATGATGTCAGGCCTTAAACTGAACCTTGGCTGCTCAGTCTCTGATGTCTGGACACAGACCCCAGCTCTCTCCTGCTCCTACCCCAGGCCTGTACTGCTTTGTGTGTCTGGACAGACCCAGGACCTATATGCATTCTTTCCACTGGGGAGGCCTGGGCCGTCCTTGCCCCTCATCCTGCAATACATCACAGCCCCTGGGGATGGGCACCTAATAGGCACTACTCTTCCCCCAAAACCAACTCAGGAGAAACTAGAGAAGCAGTGAGAATATGGATTCCCAGGAACTCACCCTGCAGGGGGCTGACCCCGTGGTGTGTGGTTTCCGCAGGGTGCAGAGGAGAGGTCAGAGGGGGTCGTAGGAGTAGGTGGGTAGGAGGGAAGCTTTTGGGTTTTGCTCTTCACATGAGGCCATGATTGCTTTGGGTCAATAACTGGCTGCCCCTTGACCCAGACCCAGGCCACTGGAGGCAGCGGGGTAATACCCCAGTGGTACTAAGGTCTTTGCATGAAATCAAGCCTTTTAAAAATGCAGTCACAACCAAGAGATGAGGTGCTCCTGGAATTTCCAGAAGTTCTGGAAGGTTCTCTTCAGAGTATTTCCCTCAACTCTGTGGAATACTAACATCCGATAGCACAAATAAAAAGACAGCAGCAAGAATGAAGAATAAAGAATAAGTTCCTGAAACCTGGTGTGGATGAGAACAAGGCCCCACAGAGCTGCCAGAGGGTGAAAGGGAGGGGCCCGTGCCTGGTGTCCGAGGGCTGGGGGGACCATGGACCCAGGCGCCATCTTGGCTGCATTCCCTGAGCAGCAGCAGCCTCTGCCCATGGGTGATGTGGGCCTGGGGTGGGCACACGTCTGGTGAGGGGCCTGCTCAGCGGCACACATCTGCCCTTGTTAATCACCTGTCATCCGTGTCCCGTGGCCTCTTGAAGGTCTCTGTAGCATCCAGCAGTGTCTCGTGTTTTCAGAGATGTCCGGGGAGTGAGTGGCCTGGGAGCTGCTGGAGTTCCTGTGGCAGAGCCGGCTTATAATTCTCCTAAACCCACCGCAGTGTGTCCCTCAGTGCACCTGCCACCTGGACCTGGGAGGCTGGCTGGAGATGGAGCGATGCAGCCCTTCTGTCCTCTCCGCTCTGCCCCAAGGTGGGGATGCCTTACATGGGGATCTGCTGCACGTGGCAAGTCAGGCAAAACCTTTCCCTTCTCCAACACACTTGGTGTGCATACCCCCAAGATCACACGAAAATAAATGTGTCCATAAAACATACGATATGCACACAAAATGCACAACATATGCAATGTATGTGTCCACTCTCCCCAAACACATGCATGCCACAAAACACACACACACACACACACACACACAGATGGGAACTTAACGACCAGCCCAAAAGTCTGAATGCTGATTGTCTTTGCAGTGAGTAGTTAGAAAAGTGGGAAAAATCATCCAATAAATTATAGTTAGTTCTTAAAATCGCTGTAATATATAAAAACTATATAAAATAAAACAAGTCCTTTGACCTAGCGATTACATATCTAGGAATTTATGTTTTAGGAATAATCAGTGATATTTGCAAAGATTTAAGCTCAAGCACATCAATGCTGATATATACCTCCGTAGCTATATTGTAACAACATAATATCATGTGCTTAATCTGTAACACACATGTACGCACCTATGATGGTATAAAAGTGAGAATAGCACACATGTTTAACATTTGGATTAGGTGAATTGTGTTCTGTCCATTGTGACGCAGTTTGGTTGTCCCTTGTTCTCTTCCTGGGCCTCCCACAAATAAACACATAGTACCCCTGTGTATTAGTATTGGTTCGGGCCACAGACAGGAGCCACCAAACATCCCACGTCACGCTACACAGCACCCCATTGTAGACCAACTCGTTTCCCTTCTCTCTTGGAGTCACTCGGGCATGAACCCCACAAGTGTGTTGGCACCGACCTGACCTGGCTCTTCCCACCCCTCTCCCTCTTCCCCACCCTGAGCAATGCCTGGCTGCCCCACCCCCACGTCCTCATTCACGGGAAAACAGCACAACACAAAGCTTGCAGCTGCCCTACCTGCGCCCTTCAGACAATTTAGTAGAAATTTTGACTTTATTTTGGTTTTGCTTCCTTTTGCCCCTCATAATCTCATCTCCATCCTAGGAAGTTTATCAAGAGTTCTTCAACAAATGTCTCTCCTTAAGAATTTAGCAGCTTCTCAAGACAGTTAGTGAAACACTTTAGCAGTTAAAAATGGCACTATCCTTAAAAATAATAGTGTAGAAAAGAACTGATGAAATGGAATGATGTTTGCAATATCACATTGATTAGAAAACTCACCATACTAACTGGGAAAGAAATATTACCAAACAATTTGTCCAACTCACTTCCATAGGTGTGGATGTAAAGGTGTGCATGGAAAATGACTCCAGGAGGAGACCCCAGGCCTTGGTCCCAGTTGAGAGATGGGGCTGGAGTATGCTCAGAAAGGCCTGAGGTACAGTCCTGTCCTTTCCAGTGACTAGGGATGTGACCTTGGGTAAATTGCTTATCCTCCTTAAACGTGCCTTTTGTCTGTAACACAGGGATGATATCTACCTACAGGATCGTCAGAGGATTAGGTTCTAGGTAAAGAAAGAAAAGCCAGTCCAGTAAGGGCACTGTGGCTTACCACCATGGCTGAGCACTGTAGCTGACTACTGTGGCTGTTCCCGGTTGTGGAGGGTTGGGTTGTGGTCCAGAAGCGGTTCTCATTGCTGTGCCTTTACCTTTGTTTGGCTTTGGATAACAGACAGGAGCACGTGCCGTACAAAATGCGAGATCATGCAGGAAGATGCTAATGGGCTCCAGGGAGAATCCGGTCCTTGGTGGGCTTCATCAGGGACGGCTGCTTGGGGATGCCTTGCATGTCACCTTTGAAAAAGAGTGGCGGAGAAGAGGTGCAGGTAGGGTTGGCCCTAGAGTGCACCCGGAAGGAAGCCTGAGAGGAGGACATTTCCTCTGGAACTTGGGGACTCAGCTTGCTGATAGTTTGGAACCGGGGCTAAGAACCCACCTGAGAATGAGGTCTTCCCTGACCCTCTTGACCCTCTCAGGCTCCCTGGCTGACCTGGACCTGGTGTCTCTTCTTTCCTTCACTCACATCTGTTTCCTACCCCTTCACAGTTGGACAGAGTGGGCAGCTACAAAGTCCATCTCGAGGGCCTTGAAGTGTGTCATGTGGATGAGGCACAGGCCTTGGCAGAGTGACACCACCCCCGGGAATTGTGTATATCATTGGCATGGAAACCACAAGGCGATGAGAGGTGCCTGATGACCCAGAAAGCTGTTTATCATTGGCTGCAGGAATGCCGTCATTGCATTGTAACACCCACTCCCAAATCTGACGTCCCTAGTCAGGACCAGCCTGGCTCCTCCGGACCAGGGTTTATAAGTCCAGAAGACGGAGCCCCAGGAGTCCACAAGGGAGTCACAGACCACAGCGATCCCCAGGCCAGGTAGGTGGTCATCACCCATTCTCCCGCCCTGAGGCCCATTGTCACGATGGGTAGGTGGCAGAGCCTGGCCACACCTTCCTTTTCTCCCCACTAGAAGTATTATCTCCAAGATGCCCAGACCGCCAGGCCCTTGGCCCCGGCAGCAGCTTGCGTCTCCCAGGACGGCTTATGCCAGTGTCACAGTGTTGCTGGAGGGCCGGGTGGACACTGGCTTAGCAAACCTGCAAGTCCAGATGATGCCAGCAGCTTCTCTGTAAGCGGAGAAGATTGATTTCAGATCTAGAAAGTCCTGGTCTTTGGAAAGAGGTTTTAGAAGTTGGTACTGTGAATGTTCTCAAGGGGACAGGGAGAGCTCAGATGGCCTGTCCATGCCCTCTTCAGGGAGTACAGTGGGAGCCTCCTGGATTTATCTTGATATGGGTTCCAGATTCCCTAAGCAGCTCACAGGGATATCCCCAGGTCCTCCAGCCTGTGGTAACGTTCCTTCCTCTGGGCACCTACATTTCTGCCAGGCACGTCTTGTGGTGATGTACTGTCAAACTCTCTGTCTTCTCGAGTTCGTTCCTTGATTTACCCCACACTGCAAAGGCAGCTGTGCTCTGTGACTACGGGGTGCTGCCAACCACAACTCAAAACCTAATGGTAGATATTGCTGCGCCTAAAGACCCACCAGCTCCGCCCAGCTCCCCAGAGCTGCCTGGTGGTCACCTTCCCTCCTGCTCACTGTCCCCAGTGCTGAGCCCTGGAGTCCTTTCCTGTCATTTTTTATTTGTTGCAAAGCAATTTGGTTCTCCTGGTGTCATTCCTAAGCCATTCTCTAAAGATCTGGTTTTCACACCAAATGCCATCTCCACAAACTTGGAAGTGGTACCTGCCTGGAAGTCACATAACTTCAGATTTCTCACCTGTAAAACGGGATGAAGAGTTCTTGCTCCATTTCTTCTCCTGGACTAATGTTGGGGAAAGTGCTTTGTCAAATGAAATAGGGTGTGAAGAATTTATATAATTATGTCTCCTCCAACACTCCTAGTGAAGCAAATAGTGGGAATCTACCTGCCCAAGACAGGAATTAAGCTTTTCTGGGGCCTTTGGAAACTGAGTGTTTCTTGGCAAGATCTTGCAGGGATATTGCCCTCTGTTAGGTAAAGATTAGGTTACTTCAGAGTCAGCAACCTTCTACAGAAAGGCTCAGGTGGTACGTTAGGTGTTGCTGGCCTCTCTCTCTCAAGTACTCAACTGTTACTGCAGCCCCCAAAGCAACCCTAGACACTATGTAAATGAGGAAAATAAAACTTTATTTAACCACAAAACAAGTGGGCCAGATTTGGCCTGTGGGCTATAGTGTGTCAGTCCGAAGAGCACTGCACATTGAGCTTTTTATTCTTTATCATGGTTATGAAACGTTGTCAAGATTCACTAAAGTGATAGTGTGACCTGCGTGTTGGTGTTGTGACCCACTGTTTGGAACACGCTGCTTTGGAGGAGAGATGGAAGAGCCTCCTACAGGCAGGGAGCATTGCTAAGCAGACAGCAGGGTGAGAGGCTGCTTCAGGGACATGTTAGCAACAGGGAGCTGATTCCTGCCTGTCTGTCCAGGTGCAGTGCCTCTTGTTATCTCACCAACACAGAAGATGTCCATTTTGGAGGACAACACAGGAGAGAACATGGACTTCGAAGACTGGGAAGAAGAGGAAGCCCAGTGCTGCTCAGAAGGTACGTTTTGGGGAAAGCTCACGGCAGGACCAGAGTAGAATTCTGAGAGCAGGATCTCCCGGCTGGCCTTGCACAGCGTGTGAGCGGCAGAACTTCCCTGGCAAATGAACCAGACTAGAGGGATCTGGAGAGAAAGGAAGGTTTGCCTCAGGGCCCAGGCGCACAGGGGTGGATAAGTGGACTGTTCCCCCCCCCCCCCCCAGGGCTCAGGGCCTTGAGCTTCACCACCAGTGCAGGGTTTCCCCTCCTCAAGCATCTGAGCCCTCCCAGCTTGCCCAGGAGAAAAGGCCCGAGGTGGAGGGGCTGGCCTGGGACAGTGACTCTGGGCAGGGCTCTGGCACTCCCTGGAGAAAGGCAGAGGTCAGAGGGCAACCACAGGAGATGTGGGTCTGCGTGTGGGGCGCAACCTGCCAGAGGTTGACCCCGGATTATTTCTTCTCTCTTTGGCAACATGTGTGTCCAGGGAAGCCATTTTTAAATGTCACTCCTGTCTCTCTGCTCTGTATTTCTCTGTGCAAACAAAATGAATTAAAGAATTAAGTGGCACCTAGAGCTTGTACATGCTTGAGACACCCCAACTGTCTGTGTTCACTTGCCGTCTCTGGTTGCAGACCCAGCTGGAAGCCCCATGGAGCCAGGCCAGAGCCAAGCCTCTGTGAGTTCTACGCATACAAGTAAGTTCCCCGGGTGCAGTGATGGGTGGCCGAGGGGTGAGAGGAAAGATGGTTCTGCTGGGCCCTCTTAGACTGGAGACACCCAAGGGTGCTTCCCCTTTATGGAGGGGAATCCCATCTGGAGGGTCTTCAGGAAAGATGTACTCAAGGTGGGCCTCTGCAGAGAGGGCAGTAACCCAGGTGGGTGAGGGCACAGGGGGAGGAAGGCTTTGAACCTGGCACCCTTCTGAATGTTGTCTGACCTCTGCCAGGAGGCTGACACCCTGACCTCCTCATGGCACTGCTGAGAAACAGGAGGGTGTCCAGCAGGGATGCCCTGGGACACCCTACGATGGAGCCTGGGGTGGCTGCCCTCACAGGGTGCCATGGGCTTCACCTTTCAACAGCCCCAGGAGGAAGCTGCTACCATCACACTGTCCAAGTGTGGAACCTGAGGCAGAGTGGCCGTGACCTGCCCCAGGTGACATGGGGAGGAAGCCACAGATGCTGGCATTTAAGGCACCCTCTGTAGGCCCAACTCAGGGCTGCTGCTTACCAGGGTCTGAAGACAACAGCCCCAGCCTCAGTCCCAGGGGACCCAGACACCAGCCCCAGCCCCAAGGATCCAGACACCAGCTCCAGCCCCAGGGATCCAGACACCAGCCCCAGCCCCAGGGATCCAGACACCAGCCCCAGCCTCAGCCCCAGGGATCCAGACACCAGCCCCAGCCCCAAGGATCCAGACACCAGCTCCAGCCCCAGGGATCTAGACACCAGCCCCAGCCCCAGGGATCCAGACACTAGCCCCAGCCCCAGGGATCCAGACACCAGCCCCAGCCTCAGCCCCAGGGATCTGGGCATCAGCCCCAGACCCAGCCTCAGCCCCAGGGGTTCAGACACCAGCCCCAGCCCCAGAGATCTAGACACCAACCCCAGCCCCATTCCCAGGGATCCAGACACCATTCTCAGCCCCAGCCCCAAGGGATCCAGACACTAGCCCCAGCCCCAGGGATCCAGGTACCAGCCCCAGCCCCAGCCTCAGCCCCAGCCCCAGGGATCCATACACCAGCCTTAGCCCCAGGGATCCAGACACCAGCCCCAGCCTCAGGGATTCAGGTACCAGCCCCAGCCCCAGAGATCTAGATACCAGCCCCAGCCCTAGCCATAGGGATTCAGACACCAGCCCCAGCCCCAGCCCCAGGGATCCATACACCAGCCTTAGCCCCAGGGATCCAGACACCAGCCTCAGCCCCACTCCCAGGGATCCAGACAACAACCCCAGCCCCAGCCCAGCCCCAGCCCCAGCCCCAGTCCCAGGGATCCAGATACCAGCACCAGCCCCAGCCACAGCCCCAGCCCCAGTCCCAGGGATCCAGACACCAGCCCCAGCCCCAGCCCTGGCCCTAGGGATCTAGATACCAGCCCCAGCCCCAGCCCCACCCCCAGGGATCCAGACACCATTCTCAGCCCCAGCCCTAGGGTTCCAGACACCACCACTGCCCCAGGGGATTCAATGCCCAGCCTGATGTGAGAAACTAAAGGCTCAGGGTCCGTCTAGCTCAGGGCTCCAACCCCACAGCCCTTGCCCTGGGGACTCAGACTATGGGAGAGTCTGGAGTAACCAAGGCTGAGAGCTTGGGTCTCCCCTGACCCCTTGTCACCATGGAGTCATTCAAGATCTGGCCTGGGCTGGCCATCCCTTCACAAACACTGAGAGTCCCCTGTGGGGGCTCTGTGGGGACGTGAAGGGTCACATACAAGCCAGACAGGGGACCTGCCTAGGAGCTGACGGTGCTGTCATGTTGAGATGTGGGCACTGATTCCTGTGAGCAGGCCCAGGTGATCAGTGCAGGGGGCTGGGGCAGCCAGAGGATGCCATCCCACTCTGAGGAGAACTGAGTGGGCTGCAGGGAGGAGGCAGGGTCAGCAGTGTGACAAGAGGATCCTCCTGGTCCTCAGGGAGGGGGAGACCAGGAGGGACAGTCCACTGAGCAGCTGGGCAGAGACCTTGAGACCATGAACGGAAAGAGAATGAGGCCTTAGGATGACTCTCTGCCTTAAAATTTCCTGTCACAGATTCGCATGCCATGGCACCCTGCAGGGGGTGGGTACAATATTGTCACATTATCATAGCTGACATTTCTCAGCTGCCCATCCCTGACAGCCTCGGCCCAACACTGGAAGCTCCTGCTTAGGGCTCCTTCTTGGAATGTCCTGGTTCCTGGGTCTGCTTGCCTTGGTGTCCCACCACCTAGCTGCCCATTATCACTCCCTTGGACAGACGGTGCGAGGGTCTCTCCCGCCCCAGGCATTGCTGTGGGCACGATGCCCAGCCAGAGTTTAGGAAAGTGGGTAGGGACAAGCGATGGTTGCCATGGTCCAGCTCTCATCTGTAGCACGGATGCTTTCTTGGCTCCGGTAAGTGCTACTTATTCAGTAAGCATTTAAATCCTCACAACCGTCTCTCAGGTAGGTGATTTTAATGTCCCCATTTCACAAACTAGGACATTTGGGTTTGGAAAGATTCAGTAGCTTGTTCTAGGTCCCAAGGCAGCCATGAACGACACTCAGTTTGAACCCATCTGTGAAACTCTGGACCCCACGTGCTTACGTTCAGCGCTAATGTGCTCGTCCCAAGCAAGGCAGAGAGTCTGGAGCCTGGAAGCTGGGGCTGGCACCCTGGGATGTGGGGGAGATGGGCCGAGTCTCCCATTCGCTGGGATGCGTTGATATCTGGTCACATTTGTCCAGGTCCAAGAGTGAAGGCCAAAGAGCCCCAGAAATTCAGCATTTTCGACCGTGATCATAAAGTGTTGGTCCTGGACTCTGGGACCCTCAAAGCAATTCCAAATAAAAGCTACATCCTCCCAGGTAACTCACAGTCCAGCCAAGGTGAGACCTCTCTTTGCTCGGGCTCCGACGTACCACACCCCCAGTGCCAGCAGGTGTGGTCCTGGTGAGAGGCCCTAGGGAGCTTTAGGAAGTGGGTAAAGGGCATGACAGGATCAGAGGGGAGACTTCTGGAAGGGCAGGCTGAGAGAAGGAGCCTGTGGCTCAGGCTTGGAAGAGGAGGCTTGGGCCCTCATGGGGGAGGGGACTTTGATCCTGGGCTCCAGGGCGGGGGGGGGGGGGCTGGGGGGGTGGGGGGTAGGTGGGGGGATGGGGTAGGGGGGCGGTGGGGGACAGGGCTGTGAGTAAAGCCGCTGGGATCTCCCTGCTCTGAGATCTGCCCTCCTCTGTCTTCACACAGAGACATTCTTTGTGTTGGCCTCACATCTGGCAAAGCCCTCCGAGGAGAAAGGGTCTCCCATTTTGTTGGCTGTCTCTAAAGGGGAGTTCTGTCTCTGCTGTGACAAGGACAAAGGAAAATGTCAGCCATCCCTTCAGCTGAAGGTGAGCATTCCAGCCTGTCTTCCCGTATCTTTGGTCACCCAAAAGTGGCCCGATTTTGACTGCAGATCTAAGGCATGGTTTTTAATCCATCTTTTAAGATCATGCATAGAGCCAATTTTCCCATGGCCTTCTGATACCTGCTTTTTTCTCTATCTGTTTATTTTTTTAAATTTTTGGTACTGGGAATCGAACCCAGGGGTGCTTAACCACTGACTGAGCCATGTCCCCAGACTTTTTTTTTTTTTAATTTAATTTGAGACACGGCCTAAGTTGCTGAGGCTGTCTGCGTACTTGAGATCCTCCTGTCTCAGCCTCCTGGGCGGCTGGGATCACACCACACCTGTCTCAGTTGATCTTTAATTCTGGGGTTGGGGAGTGGAAGAGAAGGCTTGGATACTTGTCATCCTGCAAACAGGGCTCCAAGCCCGACACCAGCCTTCCCAAGGGCATCTGCCCTAGATCCGCTCCTCCTCTCCGGGCAAAGGCCTGGGGCAAAGGCCTGGAGCAAAGGATCGTGTATTGGGTTTTCTCCCTCTGGAAGCCTCTGCTGTTTGTCACCTCTTATCTCACAGAAGAAGAAGCTGATGAGTCTGGCCGCCCAGAAGGAGACTTCGCGCCGGGCTTACGTCTTCTACAAGTCTAAGGTGGGCTCGCGGTACACCCTGGAGTCCGCTGCCCACCCTGGCTGGTTCATCTGCACGTCCTGCAATTCCGGTGATCCTGTTACAGTGACGGATAAAACCGGGCGAAGGAAACACACCGAGTTTTCATTCGAGAATCCTAGCAAAACTGAAATGAGCCAGTAGGGGCAGTGTGAAGAAACTGTCCCCTCAGGCACCTCCCCGGCCTCTTCTCTGACTCTACCCATCAGAGGGGAACACAACAGCTGCTTGCTCACTAACTCTGTGTCTATGAGTTTCATTTCTCACCCACAAGGAGGGGTTTGCGTTTGAGGCTTAAGGAAAGAAGGATTGCCTAATGACGGACTCTCTTTGGAGAGGAAATCAAGTTCTGGGTTCTGCTACCCTAAACCGTCAGAGGCCGAGGGCTGGGTCACACGGTGCCATCTGGCCAGGCCCAGCTGGACACTTGCTGCAGAAGTAATCGCAGGGGGCATGCCTTGCTCTGGAAAGAGTGGTTCCTGCCACGTGGTAGCCCTGTGGGATCAACCGAGGCAGAAGTGCATGGAAGTGGCTGAGGGTGTCCAGGGTACAGTGTGATGTGTGGAAATGGGTGGGTGGGTTTCAGACAGGTAGCAGAGTCAGCTGACGTGGGGGAAAGGCACTGAGACAAGAGTGTCTGGGTCAGGTGGCAGCCAGAGAGCAGGTGACCAGCCAGTCACGTTGGCTGTGAGGAGGCCTAGCCACAGGGGCTGGGTTCTGTCCCTAAGCAGGGCTCTGAGCTCCTCAAGGGCAGCTGGTCAAATATCACCTGGGCCTAGAAACACAATGAAGGGCCAGGAGGGAGGCCTGGAAACTAGCTGTCTACTAGTTTTGCCTCTTAGGTTATCAGTAGTATTAATTGCTTTTGGTTTACTTTAGCATAAAGTATACTAAAACACTAAGGAGCCTGCAGGAAGGAGGTTGGGCATGTGAGCTTCTTACTGCTACTGACCACTCACTTAATGTTCACTCAAAACAATGTGTGTTCTCTCATGGTTCTGGAGGTCGGTCCCAAATGGGCCTCCGTGGGCTAAAATCAAGCCATCAGCAGGTGTTGCTCTGGACTCCAGGGAGAACCCATGTCCTGCCTTTCCAGAGGCTCAAGGTCCCTTCATTCCCACCGTCCCTTCCTCTGCCTTCAAAGATGCAATGGCTGGTCAGGTCACCACCTCACACTTGGACCCTCCTGGCTTCCTTCCTCACTGACAGGGACTCTGGTCATGCACAGGGGTCTGTCTGGCCAATCCAGCCGCCCTCCCCCCTCAGGATGTGGAGCTACTCATGGCTGCCAAGTCCCTTTGCCACATGGCATAACAGTACTCACAGATTCTGGAGATCGGGGTGTGGGAATCTTGGGTGGGGGAATTATTCTGCCCCAAGGTAGCTTTTAGTATTGAAGGATGTGCCGAAGAACCAGCGTCAGAAATTTCTAGCAGGCCAGAAATGGCACGAAGCTATGGCTGTACCTCTCAGATGGAAAAGAGCCAATCACATTTTTGTTTTGTTTTTAACTTAGCAAAAAATTTATTTCCCAAGACAGCATGTGGCTGTGCTGGTTTTGTTACATGCCCACTGATGAGGCAATTAAAGATGGTGCATAGATCAATGCTCCCGCAGGACGGTGTCCACCCAGTCTAATGAGATACTTAAAGTAGATCTGATGAGCTAATCCTAGCAGAAAGGCTGAGGGTTCAGGCAGGAGGCCAGACTCCAGTGTAAACAGGCAGTGAGGCAGTGTCCAGTCGCTGAGGGCCAGGTGAGACCACAACAGGCAGAGCTTGGCAGGGTCAGCCTCTTCTGTTGATGCTGCTGCCGATGGTGATGGATACTAGCCCAATGTTTTTTTAAAAGTATTTGGTATTTTTAGCATTTTAGAATACACGCAGGTGATAGTGACATCTTGGAGAGGAGGGACTGCTTTCTTCATAACATCACAGATCCTCCTGAACTCTGATGCAGGGCTGCCCATGACTGTGAGCACCCTGGCTCCCTGACAGACCCACAGAAAAGGGATGGGGCAGGCTGACCATGGCTGTGAGGAGGCCGACCATGCCCGAGACGGGCATGGTCTTCAATCTGTCCTGCTCCTCTTCCCACCTGGTAGTATTGATTGCAATTTGCTGTGTAAAACACAAATTCTCAGGGTCACACACCCTGAGGTTCTGACATAGGTATTTGGGACACAGCTCAAGATCTAGTTGGCTTTTACAAAACACTCTCAAGTAACTCTGATGCAGTTGATTCTTTGGATCCACACTTGGAGAAATACTATACTTTTCATTAGACAATGGAAACATGATTTTGCGGCTGAGAGCATTTCTGGATGATTGGATGCTTGCAGACACCTGTCCTAATATTCAGCCTTGGGCTTAAACACACCCTAAGGGATGTCCCAAGCAAGGTGACCTGTTTGAGTCAGCTATTTTGTTGCTGTGACTAAAGGACCCAATCAGAACAAATGTAGAGGGGGAAAGATTTATTTGAGAGTTTACGGTTTCAGAGGTCTCAGTCCATAGAAATCTGGCTCCATTCCTAGGGGCTCGAGCTGAGGCTGAATATCACGGCAGACAAGTATGGTGGAGGAAAGCAGCTCACAGGTCGGTCAGGAAGCGGAGAGAGAGACTGCACTCGCTCGACAGATACAAATGTATACTCAAAGCCACGCCCAATGCCCACCTCCTCCAGCCACACCCCCCTCCTCAGTTACACTCAGTCAATCCCTCTCAGGGGCTTGATCACTGATTGGGTGAAGACTCTCACAACCCAGTCATTTCTCCTCTGAACCTTCTTGCCTTGTCTCACATGTGAGCTTTTGGGGGACACCTCACATCCAAACCATAAAATGACCTGAGCCCAAACCACGGAGTGATTCCAGTGTGTAGCACATTGGGTGGCTGTGCACTGTCACCAGCACGGAGGTGACCGGTAGAAGGTAGCACTGAGTGAGTCCTCTGCTGGTGGGCTTCACGTTGGGGTGAGGATTAAAGACTGAGCAGACCCGAGTGCTGCCCCTGTCCTCAAGGGAGACAGATGTCACTCGGTGTGACTGGGGCGTGCCCTATCAGGAAACCAGAGGGGAAGAGACACCTGAATGAGCTAGGGAAACAGCGTGGGCTTAACTAGAATCAAGGTGGGAGAGAGCCTTCTGCCATCTTTGAGGAGGTGGATACAGAGAGAAGACACAGAGAAGGAGCCCGGTGCATCTCCCTGGCTGGCAAGCGTGGCTAAGGGCAGCCCAGGCTGTGGCACCCATCCCACCCACTCGCCTTGGCACCTCTATTCCTGGAGGGAGGACCAAGGGAAGGGATGGTGCTTTAGAGGCACAGGGAACTTCTGTCCCCATCTCTCTTCCCCTGTTCCCTGGAAAGCTTAAAACCCATTTGCTGACCTCGCAGAAAAAACAAAGTTTGCCGGAGAGGCAATGAGGGAGAATGTGGCCCTGGGGACTCAAAGGGCACAGGACAACCTGTACATTTACTTTGAAAATCTGGGAAGAGAATGTGTCTTACTCTTATTTAGACAACCCCAAAGCATTCAGTATCCTGCTTGCTCCACTCTCTGAAACTATGTCCCTCCCCGCCCCTCACAGTCCTGCTGACCCCCTTCCCTCCTGCGGCATGGGACAATTCTGCTCCTCACCCATCAGGCAGGGGTGCTGTGTAGGGGCCTCAAGCTGTTGCTGGTACTTCAAGAGGCCAGGAAAACCCCTGTTCAGCTGTCTTTAGTCACCCCAGTTACCAACTAGCTGGGTCTCCTGGCCTTACCTGGCTAATGTCACCCCTGGCTGTGACCCGGTGGCCGTGTGTTGATCTGCAGGACTGAGAGATAGTTATGTAGAAGAAATAGGAATGTTTTCAGAATCAACATGAATTCCCTTATATCAACCCTGAAAAATGAACAGATGAAGCTGAAGGGTAGGAAGGCAGGGTCTTCCACATGGTCGCCTGGTGGGGTCTACACTGCGGCCTGCAAGGATCCGAAGCTTAGAGAGGCCACCAGCCTTCTACAAAAAGTCCTTTGGCAGAGACACCTGTCCAGCAACAGTCAGTCTGGCCTCAGATTGACACCACTCTTGTGCCCAAGGATGGGCCCAAGGATGATTTCAGAATATCTGAAGTAATCCTTCCCATTTTTGCTTAAAAACCTCCCCTGGCCTCAGTTGCCATGGCCACATGTTCCCACTGAGGTGTTCTGTTCTGTGTAAATAAATATCCACATTCTTTGGAGAATCTCTCTGTTTGCCCCTTTATTTAGGTTGACAGTTAGGGGACTTTTAAAGAAATCATATCAAAAGTGGCATTAAAAGCCTTGTGGTATCTATGTTCTAACCCAGGCTAACTTGGCTTGTCACAAGACCCTGCTGACATTTCTAGGGATTTAAAATCTGTACCAGCGTTAAATATTATGGAACACATATTTGATTTACATGATTGATAAGCAAGTCCCTGGCACGGTTGGAATTGGGGGTGGGATGTGTCTTCATCCTGGGGTGGAAGAGGCTGGGTGTCTCTAGGTGGTGGAAAGAGCTTACTTCACATCCTTGTCAGGTCCTGACAATGAGACCCTGGCAGGCAGCCTGCCTCAGGCTTCACTTCAGATATAAAACGGGTGTCACAACAGAGACATGAGATTGTTAAGCCCCAGGGTGAGGCCAGGCCGATCGCTCCTGTAACACATAGTTGAAATGACTCTGAGGCCATTGGGAGGGTTTTTAGATCTGGAACAGCCTCCAAAGTATCATGTGCTAAGAATTGGTCCCTAGCTGGTGGCGCTACTGGGAGGCCGAGAAAACTTTAGGGAATGGGGCCTGATTGGAGGAAGCAGTGGATGTGCTTTTAAGGAGATAGTGAGACCCAGTCCCTTCCCATCTGTCTTTCTCTGCTTCCTGGCCATCTTCCTGAACACTTTTACATCACCTCACCCTCCCTGCCACGATGCTCCGCCTCCACAGGCCTCAAAGCAATGGAACCAGCTGACTACAGACTGAAACCATGAGCCTACAACAAATCTTCCTTCCTTTTAGGCTGTTTGTGTCTGGTATTTTGTCACAGCTATGGAAAGCTGACTAATACAACAATGGATATCAGAATGAGTTCTAAGGCACATCACTTGGTGAAGGATTTGTTATAATGAAGCTCTGAGAAGCAGCTTGGGGAATCCTGAGCTCTTTGACTGCAGCGAGGGTCCAAAGAGGTCCAGCGTGGCAGTTCAGGGAAGACCCAAGTGGAGGATTGAGAGAGAAAGAGAGAGAGAGAGAG